ATATCAGATACTTTAAGACTTTTACTCAAGTAATATTTTTAGAGACTTTAACTTTTACCAAAGTATTTTTATGATAAGATATTTGTACTTTTACTCAAGTATCACTTTGAGGTACTTTATACAACACTGGCCAAAAGTTATTTGAAAAACATTCTCTGAGCATGACATAAAAGTTAAAGTAGTTTTAAAGTTTGTTGCTCTGTTATTACAAAATTCTGTAACAAAAGGCATCAAGTGATATGCATTTGTTAAAGAAATAACAGTCCATTTTTTAAATTAATTTTCATTGACCCAAACAAACACACGGAAGCCTCAGATCTTTTTTTTTTTTTACCTATAAATGTTCCTTTTTCATCGAACATCAACATCATGCCATCAGATTGCTGATGCAGTTAAATATTTACGTCTTTGTGATCACATTTATCCAGACTGTTGTTTGTGTTGCAGGCTGACACTCTCAAATAGTTCAAAGACTTTTGACATTTTATTCAATTGCAGCTTTAAACTTCTAAATTAAGTTCCTTCTGTTAAAAAGTAAGGCATGGAAATGACATTTTATTAAAAAGTGGAGAAATTAAAATGTCAATAATGGTTTTAATTAATGCATGTTACATTCAATACCCACTGTGTTCCCTTCTGCATATAATTACAAACATACATACATTTTGTTGGCCATCTCAGACGCAGAATGCAACGGACAACTTCTAAATGCCTTATGCTATCGCTTATTTACATATTCTTCCACTTCTGTACATGGCAAGTCCTTAAATACGATCAAAACATTAGAAGAGTAACAGGATACAACGTGTGACTGATTGTGTGTAGTTTCTTTGAAGCGTATTTAATGTACTTTCCTTCCAAAAAAAGGCATGTGCGTACAGCACCGTCATAAAAAGTGAGTCACAATTAGACATAGGTTAAAAACTCCACAAAGCCTCTTCTTCACTCATATATCACAAGATAAAACTCTTCCTTCAGCAGGGATTTTCTTCCAAAATGCACAAAAAAGTAGAAAAGACATGTAAGGTAACAAAAAAAACAATATGCTCAGTGCAATAAGACTTTCCAATATATCATAGAAACTAAGAGGTGTTTGCCCTGTCCCGTGTCTGTGATAAATAAATTCACATTGTTACAGGCAGACAGTCAGAGGACTTAAAACAAAACAAAAAGGTACAGTGAATAAACAAAAGAAAAATCATAAAAATAAAGTTTGATTAACATTTTGTGAAGGCAAATCTGCACATTTTTGTAACTATTTGAGCTTAAATGAAAATTTACTCTTTATGGGTTAAAAAAACAGTTTGTACAGCACTGTGCAAAGTCCCATGCCACCGGTTAGTCCTTTTTTTTTATTGTTGTTGTTGTTTGCTTAAAGAAACASTCTTTATGGTAATTTACAAACTAGTGTCAAGAATACTTTTGAGTTTTTGTTTTTCCCATAAGTTCTCTTAAGAAATTTGCCTGTTATTTTTATTTATTTTACATCCTGTACTTAAAAGTGACTTTTTTCAGAAAAAAAATGTTTTATTTATTTTTTATTTCTGTGTGCACCAATTAAGTTTGACCTATGAATAATTCTAGTGAAAAAGGCTCCTAAACCTAAAATATTAACCAATAAATCTAATTTGTTTAGATTTACAAAAAATAAATAAATAAAAAGTTGTTCAGCTGCACTTGCCTTTTCTAGGCTGAATAAGATTTAGCCAAAAATACTCTAATATGCTTTTAGCTATAAATGATACTAACTTTAGTTTACCTGTAGATGCTTGTTTTGTGATAAAACTACTAAAATGTCAGTGTTAAGTGAAGAAGCAAAAAGTTAATTTTGCTGAAACTAAAACAAAAAACAGACAATATCCAAAAAAACGACTGAAAACTGTTAATAAACTTGGATCAAACCTGTTTAAAGATGAAAATATGGTCTATTTCTTTTAAAGCAAAAAAAAGTAACAATAAAAAGGGTGGCCGAGGTTTTGCACAGTATCATTTTATGTTGTTGGCTACATTGAGCATTTTGGCCAGTGGATCCATTTTTTAGATTTTGTCAGAAGGATTAAGACACTTAAAACTGCGCTGCCATACTGTTTGGTGTCAGCAGAGATGTCGAGCCTAAAATACGTTTTCGGTCGTTTTAGGTTAGCCCTGCAAACATTAAGTGCAAACTCCAGGAGCTCTGTAACAGCTCGCACTGTCAGTAAACCCAAACATTGAGAGTAAACCTATTCTAATGTTAGCTTGAGTGACAGGAAACAAAAAAATAGCTGAGATATTTAAAACAGTATTATCTTGAAAGCCATGTTTTCTAAAGTGACAAATCTATTTTTAAACGCCAGGAGCGGGACCTCTGAGGTTCTGTGACCTCTTTTAGTGTCAACTGAATAGCTAAACAAGCACACAAATGGCCGTGTACACACACACACACACACAGTGTAGTGGTGGTTGTGTAACAGGATGACCGTGCACAAAGCACACTTATGGAAATGACACTCATGTTCAGTAAATAAACACAAAATCATTACTCGTCTGAGGAAAAACACAAATATTTCTGAGTTCTGTTTGCTGCTGAAACGGCCAAATGCGTGATCACATTAGGAAGACTATAGCAGGTGTCTGGATGTGAATAATCTGTTTGGCCATAACYCAAAACATTGGCAAAAAAACAAAAATCCAAAACGAGAACAGATTTAAAGACAACRCTTTATGATCAAACCTTGTGAAAATTACTCACATCCTAGGGTTTTAAAAGTTCAAAAGGCCAACAGTGTTACTAATGTATTGCATTTAAAGACGAGCAAAAACTCCTATTTTTGTCAAAAAGCATGAACCTAAACAAGGAGAGAGACGGTCACTGTAAACTTCAGCCATTCAGAGCTCCAACAAGCAGCTGCAGTACAGAAATGGATGTTTTTCTACCTTGGCATGGTTCTTGACACTTTGATCTCAGAGTCAAAGGCAAACCGTGTTGATATATGTTTTCATATAAATACCAAAATAGTACAGTATAAATATAAAGATTCTGTGTGTGTATGTGTGCACGCACAGTTGAAAATGGTATCTAAGTTTAGAATGAGTGTGTGTGTGTGTGTGTGTCAGTGAGCCAGTGTTGGGACAGGACGGAGGAGGGGGCGGGGTTAGAGGTGAGGCTTTCCATCCCCGGCCTCGTGGAAGAGCGAGGTGTAAAACTCGGGCTCCAGCTGCTTGTTGCGGTAACGCTGGACAATCTCTGTTATTTTGTGTTTTCGCCTCACATGAGGAGGGTTGTACAAGTCACTTTCCAGGCGCTTCCGTCTGCACACGTTGATGACAGTTTCACGCACAAGAAATCCTGGGAGGCAGACAAAAAAAAGCTGTTATTCAACCACAACAAAATTCAAGAAACCACTTGATCCAATTAGAGACAGTATTTTTTTTCTGCACATTTTGAAAAAAAAAAAACTAAAAAGCAACCTTTCCTGGGTCAAGAAATGTATCAAATGCAATAAAAAGCAATCCTAATAAAAATAGTTTTTGTGTTTTTCCAAGTAAAACGTCAACTATAAATTGAAAATGGATACAAACAACAGCAGTGGAGGTAAAATATTTTTTAGAAGCATCTCAGTGCAGATGGGAAATTCTGAACTCATTTTAAAATATCAAAAATTGATTTTGTTAACATTAATCTTTGCTGCCAGTTTAAAGGGGCATTATCAGGTAAAATCAACTTTTTTGAGTTTTATATCATGTTATAATGTTATACTCTCATAAATAACCTGCCCAAAGCCTTGCTTTGACTCGTTCATGCATGTTTGAATAATCCTGCAGCGTTTTCAGGCAGCCATGCTGAGGAGCAAAACGACAGGTGGGGACCAGAAACGCCCCTGGAACGTGTCTTTAAGCCGAGCTTCCTCTTGGCAGAGCCCCCCCGCCCACACACACACATACACACACACCCCACCCATGACTCCTGCAGGCTCTCGGGTGAAAGTGAAACTYAAGCTGGAAACATAATCACTCCGAACTGCTGACGTCGGCACGGGTTGTCGCAGTTTAATGACGAAYATTACGTCACCGGGCTTCGCAGCTTCGGTTCAGCCACCTCTTTTGGCACAACCCACCGGCAGAACTTTTGACCCCCCTCCCGTGTCGACGGTAATGTGTGATTGGTCTGAAGTTCGTGGGCGTGTTTTGTTCGTGACGTATGCTGCAGCGGGAGGGGCGTCTCCCGAGCTTGGAGCGGGGTGTCTCAGGAGCTATGAAAGGTGTGTGCGAAAACGACTTGCCGAACAACCACATGACCGCGCGTCGACCTGTTGGCGTCGGAGCGAGTATGTTTCCAGCTTTAAACTGTCTGCTGAGCTCCACTACTTCTCACTCAGTGAAGCTCTTTTCAGATTAAAAATACCTTTGAGGAAATSTATTTTCAGATGCCGAGTAAACTGCATCATAGCACCCCCACCCCCACTGAAATGGGCGGGGCAGAAGGAGGTTCTTAAAGAGACAGAGGCCAATTTCAAGGCGTTTAGAAGAGGAAGTGATGAGAAGATAAGTTTATTTTCTATTTAAACATAAAAACAGCATTTTAATAACAGCTAAATGTGACATACATACTTTATTATGGTATAGTATTTAAATGTATGCCTGAGAAACACATAATATTGGCACTTTGAGAACGTGCAGAGTAAAAACTATTTGGTAGTTTGTCCAAGTAAACTTGTAGTTAAAACCTGCTGCAGAAAACAGATAGATTATGTCCTGTAATAATAACTGAAGCTATCATAAATTACTGTTTTTAGAAATGACTGAAACATTTGATTTGTGAATAACTTTTAAAGCAATAAACACAATCTTTTCAAGAGTTGAATGTTAATTTTGTTAGCTTTTCTATGGRGTTTTCAATGTTAAGTTAYCAAGTATGCTAATTAAAGGTCAGCAGTTTGTGATAAATTGGGTTTTTCGTCTCATGKTATTGTGCACACTTCGTTGGACATGCAAACTTCATGATAATTTCATGACAATCAAAACGCATGAATAATTATTTCTAAACACATCAAAGCCCTCTAAATCATAAATTAAACCCTGATGAGCCTAAAGACTCCCCCTGCTAAAAAAGAATAAGATCAATCTTTTGTTTTCTTTGTCCAAACAGATTTTTTTGTTTTTTTTTTGAAGGGGTAGGGAAGGATTGGCTCGTTACCCAGAGCTCTGCGGCTGACAACCATTCCGTCCACGAGAGGAATCACCATGCCAAATTTGCCTACAGCTCCGTGCACCCGAATCCTGAAAAGTCCCGTCTTCAGGGGGTGAATGAAGATCAGAGGAACYTCCTTTTCTAGTAACACCGACCTGCGGCGGGAACAACCAAGAAAACAAAAKGTCTGACAACACCTGTGAGGTATTTCCCACCAATCAAAGCTTAGGTTTATACTCAAAACAGAAACAACTCCACTAACTCYTTAGTTAAGGTGTAGCTTTTTTTGTTAATATAATAATGTTTATAGTATTTTTTCTTGGTTGGGAGTTGAAGCATGGACAAAGGAAAACATCATTTGAGTAAAGAAGTAAATCTAATACAACACTGCCTYCATGAGGAATGCACAGAGTATTCTTGTGTTTTACAGAATATTACTAYTACCTGCATAAACACTGGCATACTAATGACCATTATGTAATGGGGCAAGGCTAGATCCAAGTTACATAAGTTTGTAAATGATACCTGTAATAAAGTGCACATGCTTATACATATAAATCCTCATTTATTAACTTTTATTGTTCACATAACTTATTTTATTTTCTAAAAACAAACAAAGTGCTGGGTTATTTAGCAGTAAAAGTAATAAATTGTGTCAATTTAGATATCTATACAATAAAATAAGATAGAAATATTATCTCAAGATCAAAGCTAAGWCAAAAAATGAACAACTTTTTACAATTTCTTCTGAACATTTCACCTATAGCAGAAATGTCACATTTTTTTTCCCTGCCTGCTTTTTGCACACACCATATGAATACTTCCTGTTTTGCATCYCAGGTTTGAGCTTTGCAAAACAGTATTTTTTTTTCAATTCTTCCMTTTTGCACCCGACCACAACAGGTTGTTCAAACCGACAAAGTGTACCTGCAGGAAGTGCTGTTGCTCAGGCTGGCCTCTAAACCCGTACTGGTTTCTGCCAAAAGATCAGACAACGGGAAGTTCTCTAGAGATACAAAAACAAACATCAGTTGATTTCACTCATAAACAAATTATTTTKTTATTTTACACATAAGGCTTTGGGGAGTTTTGAATCACTAAAAATTTAAAGAGTATGTTCATACCAATGTCGTCAAAACGTTCCACCCAGACTACAAACACCTTGGTTTCAGGACCCAGCTGGGGGTAAGGCTTTCCAGTCGATGACCTCTTTGTCCTCACGAAGGGACTGAGCTACAAAAAAAAAACAAACAGATCAGATCAGTGAATTTGAGGAAAAACTASATGATAGACAAAAAAATCACATTCAGTGATGCTGTGTGTGGCCTGTGCTGGCAAGATGAGTAATTCTAATAATCTACTATTAAATCAAAGGATMGCGTGGTTAATTTCAGCTTTGATACATCCGGAGTTTTGRGTGGAAAATGGCGTACGCAAGCTTTTWGTGCYTACGCACTGTTGARACATGAGGCCCCAGTGGTCACCAGACCAGGTGAGACCTCATTTTGTAGCCTTTGAGATGGAGAATTTAAAAACAACAACTCAATATTAAAAACATTCCTCGTTGCCACTCATTTTGCCAGCATAGTTTACATTTAATTGCGAGYCTTTACCTTTTTGGCCGACTCCAAGTTCTCCGAATGGTTGGGGAAGAGTTCCAGTGTGAGATTGTGTTGTCGAAGTATACCAGGCATGAGGTCTGTGTTGGTGTCTGCCTCCACTGTGGAGTCACTGTGCACCGATGACTGCTCTGCAAAACACCAAGYAGCAAGCTACACCTGTAAATACATTTGATTTTAAGATATCTGTAAATTATAATCTAAGCTGTAGAATACAGACCTGAGCTTTCTGTTAGAGACGGAACGACGAAGGCTATCTCAGACAGAGCATCGGCATAGTATAAAACCTTCCTCTCTCCGTTGAACACTGAACCACCTGTGTCCTCAGGAGTACCTGCTTCTTCTGAAACAACATGGATTTAATTACAACACTAAAATGTTTACATTTTGTCCAAATTCACCCTTATATCTAGTGCAGTAGTTGCCATATACCTGCTTGTTGAATATCATTGGTGTCGGAGCAGGAGTTCAGGGACCAGCTGGTGTCCAGGTGTCCAGTCCACCCTGGGTGGCATCCCACATCCACAGACCAGCCCAAAGACAACAAGAACTCCATAAAGTGGGGCTGGACTGTAGCTGATGACTCCACGTTCCTCAGGATCTGACCACAAAGAACAGGAGGTTGGAACATTTTGAGGCTAAAATATATATACGTCACAAAATCTGAAGTGCTCAGATGACAGATTCAGACACGCATTCACCTCAGAGCTGCTTTTCTGTCCAGCTCTCACGTAGAAAATAAAGACGGTGTCAAATGGTCGACAGGGAAGCAAGTCCAGGTAGCTGATGTCATCAAAAAATCCTGGCAAAGATGTGTCCAGGCCGATGAGATGAGGAGGAAGACGACTGTTGTTGGGTTCCTAACAATACAGAACAAATACAGATACAAAAGAATTTAACTTTAACCATTTTACAATATAGTAATTTTTGTTCTGTAGAAAAAAATACACAGAGAAACCAAACCTACCAGTTAAGAGYGTAGTTGGGATTTTAAAAAGATGAACAAATAACTAGAGAAATGGCATTATATGGGGAAAAATGTAGTGAGAAGACCAACTTTTTTTAAGTTCACTGTAGACGCTCGAACTAAAATGGTAAAGCTAAAAGAAGCAGAAGTAGGAATGACTAGCTAGAGGCAGAACAACAGTAGCTAGAAGTAGCAGACAAATAGCTAAGTCAAATACAGCAAAATGGCAAACTAAAAAGTAGCACAACACTGGCTAAAAATAGTAAAAGGCCAGCTAAAAGCTAAAAGTAACAAAGTGACAACATTTTAAAAGTTACACTGAAGCAGATTTAAGATARATTTGTTGAATGAATTTTAAAGAAACTTCATGTACTCCTATGGGGAAAGGTTTGTAAACAGTTACAAAAAKCAAAAGTCAAAGCATTTATCTACTGATTAACGTTTTGGTGCATGAATGGTGAAAATAGTCCAAAGCAAACAGTTGTAGTTAAGTCTGCAGTRATCCTAACATGAAAAAAAAAACGTGAATACTAACTTAGCATTTCTTGAATAAACTATTAACAAGTTCRTCTGACCAACCTTCAGTGCCTCCAGAGACAGGAAGCCAAACTGTGAGAGGAAGAGYCGTGCTGTCTGGAACTCCTGTGAGGGCGGAGGGGGTTTGCAGTCCGTCTGTGGGTCGGGAAAAGGCTTGGACTTCAAGATTTCATCACTGCGTCGTTCCAAAGAGTTCTCATATTCTATCTGCTTCGTCATCAGAGTACGAAGCTTATCGTGTTGAATTTCCAGCTGAAAAAAAAAAGATTGGATGGTTTTAAAAAATGCAGGTAAAACACATTTGATGACAAATAGAGAGTAGATTTATTACTAAAAGATGCACAAGAAAAGTCCCACACAGAACCTCAGCAAGACATCCCCTCTCCAAGCTGGAAGTTAAAAGCTTGTACCTGTGTTATTTGTAGTTTGAAGTAAAGTAGAGGAAAAACTACCATTTAAAACTTAAGACACTAATCCAGTTTTGCTGGCTCTTGGCTGATTTATTCTCAACATTGATATGGTTACAGAATTAATTAAAATAAACAGCTCTGGATGTTTCTGCCAGCTCTGGATTAGGAAATCACCCAAAACGAGCATCTAATAAATGATTAACTAATAAACGTCACCCTTTTTTGTGAGAAACACCCCAGCGAAGAGTTTTTTTCTTCTGTCCAACAACTCACGTGAGCATTTTTATTCATCAGTGAACTTGTGGCTTCTGAATCATCCTCACAGCCCAAACAACCCACCTGAGTTTGTACAATAACAAATCACGGGAATCATGAGTTTTGATCGAGCCCAGAGCCATCTCACATCCGTAGATTTGGTTATAATTAGCAATTTTTTGGATGCAAAGGACAACAGGTAGCTGCTTTTTTTTTACCTCCCTGCTGACTATATCATCCAGGTCAGGAATGCTGACATCAGCTTTGACAAGAGGAATCTTATCGACCTCTTCTGGGAACGGCCTTTGCTTAACGTTGTACTTGATTCCTACGTCGTTGTTGGGTGTGGGACGGCCCTCAGGAACAAACATCTGCGAGAGAAAAGGATCAGATTAACGGATCTAAAAGGCCGAACATAACTCATAAAGGGATCCCCGATTAGTTGTAACATTAGACTTCATTTAATAAACATATATTTTAATTGTAAAATAAAGACTGTAAAAATACTGTAGGCTGTTTAGTGTGGGACGGCCCTCAGGAACAAACATCTGCGAGAGAAAAGGATCAGA